AAAAAAAAACAAAAAAAAAAAAAAAACACCTCCCTCCGCCCATTTCATGCCCCCCCCCCGCACACCCCCCCCACTAAAACACAAACAAAACCAACACAAAAGATCAAAGACACTATCTAAATTATTCTTTTAATTCTTAAATGCTAGTGGAGTGGGGGGCGGTGGAAAAGATGAGAAGAGAATAAAACGACAAACAGACGCTGATGTACCCCACACACTCCCCCTCCCAAACTTCTCCGCATTCATCCTCCTATGTAAATCATACCCGAACCATACAACCGGATTCGGCTTTCGCGTGAAAACTCGCAAATCACAAAAAAGAAAAGAAGAAGAAAAAGAAGAAAATAAAAACCCAGCCATCTGTAAACGCCACAAATAACATTCTCTCTCTCTCTCTCTCTCTCTCTCTCTCTCTCTCTCTCTCTCTCTCTCTCTCTCTCTCTCTCTCTCTCTCTCTCTCTCTCTTTCATTTGTAGCACTGTGTGTTCAGTAACCTCACTGCAGTTGGGACGAATGAATTTCTATATCTGTCTGTTCTTGCTTTTTTGGAAATGTGTCGTTTACTGCAAGGTCGCCGCCTATTCTGGATACATCTCATGTTCAAAGAACGTGACAATGCAGGAGAATTTAGAATGTTGCACCGAATTCTTGATGATATCGAAACATGCTTAGCATATTTTCGCATGACGAAGGCAAGCTTCCAAAGCCATTTGGAATTATGTGGACTACATATTCAAAAACAGAATACGAACTGCAGGAAGGTCATTCCACCAATTGAAAGGCTGACAGTTACACTGAGGTAAGATGCTGCTGCTGCTGCTGCTGCTGCTGCTGTTGCTGTTGCTGTTGTTGTTGCTGTTGTTGTTGCTGCTGCTGCTGTTGCTGTTGCTGTTGCTGTTGCTGTTGCTGTTGTTGTTGTTGTTGTTGTTGTTGTTGTTGTTGTTGTTGTTGTTGTTGTTGTTGTTGTTGTTGTTGTTGTTGTTGATGATGATGATGATGATGATGATGATGATGATGATGATGATGATGATGATGATGATGATGATGATGATGATGACGAGCCCCATTTTAAGGACCTTAAATTTACAACGTAACGTACTAATCACCCCTTGTGTTCTGGTAACCCCCTCCTTTTGGCCCTGCCTTTCCGTTATATTCATTACCTCCACGTACTTGCCCCCCCCCTCTCTCTCTCTCTCTCTCTCTCTCTCTCTCTCTCTCTCTCTCTCTCTCCCTCTCTCTCTCCCTCTCCCTCTCCCTCTCCCTCTCCCTCTCCCTCTCTCTCTCTCCCTCTCCCTCTCCCTCTCCCTCTCCCTCTCCCTCTCTCTCTCTCTCTCTCTCTCTCTCTCTCTCTCTCTCTCTCTCTCTCTGTATGTGTGTGAGTGCGTCCATGTGTGACGCCAAGGACAGGAAACATGCCAATGAATACTTTTGAGAACCCAACATACAACAGCCCTCTATAATTAGTTGGTTGTGGGCCTACAAGGGGATGGTTTTGGATAGGGCTGGGCAATGAGTCGCTTT